TGTATAGTAAGTTGGAAACAGTGCTGCGAAAAAAAGAAAATGTGGAAAACCTAGGCAATACCATTCAGGACACAGGCATGGGCAAAGACTTCATGACTAAAACATCAAAAGCAATGGCAACAAAAGCGAAAATAGACAAATGGGATCCAATTAAACTAAAGAACTTCTGCACAGCAAAAGAAACTTTCTTCAGAGTGAACAGGCAACCTACAGAATGGGAGAAAATTTTTGCAATCGACCCATCTGACAAAGGACTAATATCCAGAATCTACAAAGAACTTAAACAAATTTACAAGAAAAAAACAAACAACCCCATCAAAAAGTGGGTAAAGGATATGAACAGACACTTCTCAAAAGAAGATGTTTATGCAACCAACAGACATATGAAAAAATGCTCATCATCACTAGTCATCAGAGAAATGCAAATTGAAACCACAATGAGACACCATCTCACCCCAGTTAGAATGGCGATCATTAAAAAGTCAGGAAACAACAAATGCTGGAGAGGACGTGGAGAAATAGGAACACTTTTACATTGTTGGTGGGAGTGTAAATTAGTTAAACCATTGTGGAAGACAGGGTGGGAATTCTTCAAGGATCTAGAACTAGAAATACCATTTGACCCAGCGATCCCATTACTGGGTGTATACGCAAAGGATTATAAATCGTGCTACTACAAAGACACATGCACACGTATGTTTATTGCGGCACTATTCACAATAGCAAGTCTTGGAACCAACCCAAATGTCCATCAATGATAGACTGGATTAAGAAACTGTGGCACATGTACACCATGCAATACTATGCAGCCATAAAAATGGATGAGTTCATTCCTTTTCAGGGACATGATAAAGCTGGAAAGCATCATTCTCAGCAAACTATCACAAGGACAGAAAACCACAGACGACATGTTCTCACTCATAGGTGGGAGTTGAACACTGAGAACACATGGACACAGGGCGGGGAATATCACACACCGGGGCCTGTCATGGGGTGGGAGGCTGGGAGAGGGATAGAATTAGGGGAAATACCTAATGTAAATGATGAGTTGATGGGTGCAGCAAACCAACATGGCACACGTATAACTGTGTAACAAACCTGCACGTTCTGCACATGTACCCTAGAACTTAAAGTATAATAATAATAAAAAAAAGTGGAGCAGATAGGAGAGTTGGGAGATTGGGAGGTAAAATTTTAAGCAGAAAATCCGGGTAGGTCTCAAAGAGAAGGTGACAACTGTGCAAAGGCTTGAAGGAGGTAAGGAAGACCATCTTGTTGAAGAATATTAACCAAGGTAACATCAAAAGAGAAATGGAGAGACATCAAAGAACTTTGATCAAATATAACTAGACTTACAATTTGATTGAATATAATTAGACTTACATTTTAAAAGGATAACTATGGTTCTGTGTTGAAAATAAACTGTAGGGTAGTTAAGCTTAAATGAGCTCATATAAATATTACATGTACTGCATCTACCTACCTATCTTTATCTATCTATCTATCTATCTATCTATCCATCCATCCATCCATCCATCCACCCACTTACCCACCTACCTACTTATCTATCCATCCATCATTAAATTACTCAGAACAATGCCTGGTGTGATTTAAAGGCTATTATTACCATCCTTATTTTCATTGTCAAGCTTAGTGTAACCACAACTACCTCATATAAGGTAGCTATCTTTATTGTATAGATAAGTAAACAGACTCAGAAGGGTTGAAGTAACTTGTCCAAAAGTTACATAATTTGTAAATGCCAGTGCCAGGATAGGAAGTCCAGGGATTACTGTGTTTCAGATGCATGCTCATAACCATGAATAAGCTCTTTCCCTAATTCCCATTCTCAAGATGCAATATAGATGAGAAATATTAGATGCACTCTATTTCATTAACCTTAATCGAGCTACTTCCCTGATAAAGATGACCCTAACAAAGCTATTTCTTCACTCCTAAGCAAAATATGAAGCCATCATGGGCACCAAGGTTAGGGTACAAAGCTTTTCGGCCTTTAGCATCATGAGAGAACATCTTTGGAGAAACAAGCTTTTATTGTGTATTATTTTTCCACATAGGTGCCAAATTGGCTCTGCCAATCTAATTGGGCACTACCCTGCTTAAATAGCAGGATTCTGTAATGACTTTAGGATCTGTAAGAATGCATACAGAATTTTTTGATTAATGGGACATGCAAATTTATTTGGTAAAAATAGTGCCCTGTGCTATTTAATAATTTTTTAAAAAATTCTGTAATTTTTTTTACTATAAATACCAATGTGCTCATTAAAGTCAAGTTGCTTGTTTAGACAGATTATTGTTATTAAACCATAGTGTTGGGCACTGTAGCATGTGCCTATAATCCCAGCTACTCAGAGACTGAGGTGGTAGGTTTGCTTGAGCCCAGTTCAAGACCAGCATGGGCAACACAGTGAGATTTTGTCTCAATTAAAAAAAAAAAAAGCAAACAAACAAACAAAAAACAAACCGTAGTTATCCAAGTCCTGTCAAGAAAGCAGCTGTTTATCAGAGATAAAGTACTTACTTTATCAGAGAGAATATAAATAATTGTTTAAGGAGGTATTGCAAGATTGAAATGGTAAGAAGACAGGATCGCGATGTATGCAGACTTTTCAGGAATGAAAGTTTGGGTCACCATCCAACCACATAGAGGACTCTGACTGCTAAGATTGTGGCTTGGGGAAGGAGGGCAGAATGGGTAGAAGAGACAAACTTAATAGCGAGCACAGCTATCTCATAGTACCATATGTGTACTTGCCTCGTATCAGTGATATTGAATATAAAAAATCTATTTCTTCAGAATAAGGAGAATGGTAATCTCAGATTATAAATAAAATAGGTCCCAGGGATTTGGTTAACCTTATAATACATATTTTAAAAGATGATGTTTTCTGAACAGCAGGCAGTATAGCACTATTTACACAGTAAGAGTTCAGAGTCCTTACACAGCAACGTAAGGACTTCAGTGTTTCAGGGCTTTACGCAACGTGGCTTGTTGGGACTTCAATAGTGGACCTGAGAAGACAGGCCCCCAAGAAGGTTGGCTGGTACAAATACCCAGAGGCATGTGAGCATTTAGACATTTAGAGGCACGGGAACTAAAATGGAGAGCCTCTGGGCTGTGCTAATATTTGGTGCTAAGTAGGTTATGAAGCCTTGACTATAGGGAAATCCATCCCAGTGAAACAAGGCTCCTGCCATCAATTTGGGTTACAGATGGTAGTGTCTATACAGTGGAGTGCCAACAAATAGCAAGCGGATCAGGGCTCAGATCTGGAGCTCAAATCAAGGATACTGAGGAAAGCTGCTACTTGGTGGACATGAGTAATCCCAGAACTCACCAGAGGACACAACGTAGTCTAAGGGACATGCCAGCTCATTCACTTCATAGGATCCTCAGTAGAGTACTAAGTAATGTTGGTTGGGTTCTTGTTGGCTGAGGAATGTGATTGGACTGACTATGAAAGTACAAGGTCTTTAGTCCTGATCACTGGGCACAGTTGGAGAAGACAAAGACCTAGTGGTATCCTTTTGGTTACACTGGCATCACTACTTCCTGATAGTGTTTCTCATGTTCATCTGATAGACATCAAATAATTCTGCTGCGGGTGATATGATTTTACTTGGCTGGTATCAGAAGGTATGTCAAGCTATATAACAATTGGGAAGAAGTAATATAGTAACTGGAAGAAAGAACAGGCAAATGCGAGAAGTCAGGTAGTTAGAAAATATAAAATTTCCAATTACTGTTATTTTGGGGGTTTTATTTGAGATATTCCAGAATTTCCAGGATTGAAATAATTTAAAGCCAGAGAGCTAGCAGTCTTCCCCATATTGTGTATCTTAAAGAGTAATATTGGGATTTATAGACTTTTTTACTTAGTGAATTTACTGACGGTGGTCTGAACACACATGATTAAAAAACTCAGAAAAGGCATGGCAATAGTTCTGTCTTCCGCATTTCTGGATACATCAACCTTCAACTGCTATGGTTTACTAATCTTTAATTTTAAAGAATATTATGTACTTAAGTAAAGATAAATTCTGACAAATTGGGATAGTTTGCATCAGTAAGAAAGTTTATTGAAACTCGTTAGTAAATGAGAACAGAAAGTTGTTTTTCTTTCCATTAACACTTTCTGGTACAGTGAAAAGAAGAAAATACAGAAACCACAAAACACCTTGTAGACACCTTATTTTCAGGGAGTGAACCTGTTTCCATAGACCATTAGGACAGAAGTGTCTTCTTGGAGACTTTGTTTTCCGTGCATCTGTATATAATGGTCTGTGTGAAGGGAGGACTTTCCTCTTGTTCCACTCAATAGTAGTGTTTCTTGGTTTCTGATTCAACCATAGATGAAAGGACTCTACCGTCGGGTGCCACCTCTTCAATAATTGTCTTGATTACCCTGGTTTTGTTAGTATCTGAGTGAATGATGAAAAAAAAAATTACACAGTCTGTAGGGATCCTTAGCAATTAACAAGCAAATACTGTAAAAAGAAGGAAATTTCAACTTTACATTGCTAAGTCCAAAAAAAAAATGCTTAAGGTATAACATTTTGATCATGCCATTTTTCACAGTTGGTGTTGAGTAGTTTGTGAACAAATGCAAAGGGAACCGTCTCTAAGATTTTTAATTTTTTAAAACAACTCCATAGAGCTTAAAGCGCAAAAAAAACCATTACAGGAAGTTAAAACTAATTCTGATTACCCCAGCTAGTTTCTGCTGACCTTGGTCCCTTAGATGAAGACTCGCCCACGGACCCAGAAGAGGAGGACTTGTGGCCTCCGCCGGAGCTGCCGCCGCCGAAGCCGCCGCCCGAGCTGCCGCCGCCACCGGAACTTCCTCCGTGGCCGCCGCCGGAGCTTCCGCCCCCGTAGCCGCCGCTGGAGCTTCCACCCCCGTAGCCGCCGCCGGAGCTTCCGCCGCCGGAGCTTCCGCCTCCGTAGCCGCCGCCGGAACTACCACCGTGGCCGCCGCCGTAACCGCCGCCGGAGCTTCCTCCTCCGTAACCGCCGCCGGAGCTTCCTCCTCCGTAGCCGCCGCCGTAACTTCCGCCGCCGCGTCCACCGCCTCCGGAACTAAACGGGGTGAGGTCACATTCGGTTATCTCTAACGTTGGAAAACGGTAGGTAGCTTTCCAGTTGCCATTAATTTAGAAAATAAGCAAAACATGTCTTGAGAAAATAAAACCCTGCCAGGTATATATTTTAAAACCCTGCCAGGTGTGTATTTTAAAACCCATCCTTTGAAAACACTTTTGTGTACACAGAACTCTTAAGAATCATTTTGGGCCATATTCATGAGAAAGTGAGATTGCGGTTGCGTACTCCTTTTTCTGTACCCTACCCCCTCTCTTCCCTTCCTCTTACTCCCTGGCATCTTCTTGGGGTTTAGATAAGCCTTGCTATCTGGAATATTGAATAAAAGAAACTGCGATAACTTTTCATTTTAAAATTTACCTTCCCTCTCCTTCTAGCAGGCTGCGGTAGGTTTGAATTTCATTCTCCAGTCGGATCTTAATATCCAGGAGTTGCTGGTATTCAGTATTCTGGCACTCGGTTTCAGCTCGAATCTGTTGCAGCTGTTCTTCCAGAGCGGAGATCTGGGCCTGAATCTGTGAGAGCTGCACACAGTAGCGACCTTCTGTTTCTGCCAAGGAGGCTTCCAGGGATTGTTTCTGAAACGAATTTTTTTTGTGGCTTAGCGACTTACTTGTTCAATTGAGTATAGTGAAACTTACTTGTTTAGTAAGGCCTTGTATAGAAGAACAAGAAAATGAACAGAATTTGTTTTATGTTTAATGGCACCATTTCAGTTTCAGCACTTTTAGACCAATGCTAGTAGTACTTTTCCTCCTTTAACATAGAGCTTTACTTTTTCTCTTTCTTACCTCCAACTCTGCATTTTTCTGTTGCATTGCATATTCTTAGGTGAGCATGAAACTTTGTATGATAAAATTGAAGTCATTTCGTGAGAGTTAACATACCAGGGCCAGTTGTGACTGTAGTTCTATCTCCAGAGCTTGTACAGTACGTCTCAATTCAGTAATCTCGGATTTATGGCTGGACATCTGTTCAATGTTACTATCAATTTCTGTAGTCAGTTCCTTGCTCTAGAGTATTAAAAACAGGGAAAAAGATGAGGAAATTCTGAAATGATAAAACCACCATGAGTTTCACTATAAAGGAAGATTAATTTACCTTTTCGTTGAACCAGGCTTCAGCATCTTTGCGGTTTTGTTCAGCAAGTTGTTCATATTGGCTTCTCATGTTATTCAGAAGTTGAGTCAGATCAACACCGGGGGCAGCATTCATTTCCACATTCACATCACCAGTGGACACATTTCGAAGGTCTTTCATTTCCTGTTTGAGGAACAGAAAGATTTAATGGCTACACGAGGACCATAATGAACTCTCTTTGGCTGGGAAAAGTGTAACTTTTGTGTCACCTCCTCGTGGTTCTTCTTCAAATAGGCCAGCTCTTCAGTCAGGCTCTCAATCTGCATCTCCAGGTCAGCCTTGGTCAGGGTCAGCTCATCCAGCACCCTACGTAGTCCGTTGATGTCAGCCTCCACGCTCTGGCGCAGAGCTACCTCATTCTCATACCTGAAACAAGCATGATATCAATACTGAATATAACTTATATAGGGGAGATGTATCTGGGCAGAGACTGTTAAAAAGCAAATACATAGTTGATCTCATGTCATGGCAGTATTTGTCATGTACAGTTCACTTAGGAGTAATAGTGGTTTAATGGAAAAAAGCTTAACAGTTACTTTAAAATGAGTTTTCCTCCTTTAATATTGCCAAAAATGTAATACTGACATGGAAAATTTCTCAGATAACTCCAATACTATTTAACTTTGGGTGAATTCAGGAAAATGTAAATGCTATTGTGGGCATCCCAAGTCAGGTTAAAAACGACTGATGTATTCGTTGTGATAGTATTATACAATGATCGCTTAACTTACTTCAGCCTGAAGTCGTCAGCTGCCAGCCTGGCATTGTCTATCTGAAGCAGGATATTGGCGTTATCAGTTGTTAGGTTGAGGATCTGGAGGGAGAGGCACGGTTACTTAAGAAGAGGTCAGATGCAGATATGGCTTTTGTAGTGGCGTAGATGAACTCTGCAGTTTTATGTTGTTCTCTTACAAAATCTTTTATTTTAAATATGAGATATTGCAGGCTTACCCATATACTTAGCTTTGAATTATTTGTTCTCTTGGAATTTCTCCAGTCTTGTATTTTTGTATACAAATTATTCCTTTCTGAAAACTAACTGGAATTATATAGATGTATTCCTGCAAGTGTGCCCTCCTCTTTTAGACTATGTGATTTCCATGTATTTCAGCCATGCTTTGGCTGACTCACACCTGCATTTGTTTAACTCATGATAAATACTAATAAATAAGTATGCTCTGAACTGGTACACAATGGGTACAATTCAGAAATTCCTTAGAGGCAAGCAGTATCCCACTTTCATACTAGAAAATTCATTTTTCTCACCATGTTGGTACTGAATATGGCTTGTTATCAGTCTGAATAACATTTTGTCCTGATTCATTTCATGATTTCTTTTTCAGTTTCTACATTTGTAAATGACTTAGCATATTTTAACTGTGGACTCATTGTATGCTCATTAAAACCTCAAAAGTTCTTAGTAATCTGCCATCCTCTTAAGACAAGCAGCACACATGCTGGATGAAGATTGCCATGACCATACTTTCACAGATGTTTATCTTTGATGAGACTGGGTTATTTTTGAAGCAAGAAAGTAACATAGGTAAACATAATGAACAGCCACATTGTGCTTAATTTAAGATTCATCTGTCTGGATTTCATGGACAAGATACTTAAAGCTGGATTTAAAAATATCTCTTACCTGATTTTTAAGGTCATCGATGGTTTTGTAGTATTTGCTGTAGTCACGAGGCTGCCCCTGGTGTGAGTTGCCATGCTTTTCATACCACTCCTTGATTTTGCCTTCCAGCTCATAGTTTGATTCTTCCAGAGCCCGAACTTTGTCCAAGTAGGAAGCCAGGCGGTCATTCAGATTCTGCATGGTTACTTTTTCATTTCCAGAGAGAAGGCCACCATCTCCTCCAAATCCACCACCAAAGCCTCCTCCAAAGCCACCTCCACCAAAGCTGCCCCCACCGAAGCTGCCACCTCCAAAGCTGCCCCCTCCAAAGCTGCCTCCATAACCCCCACCAAAGCTGCTACTTCCATAGCCTCCACCAAAGCTACCTCCACCAAAACCTAATCCTCCATAGCCACCTGATGAGCCCCCAAAGCAGCCCCCACCAGAGCTCCCACGGCTAAAAGAGCCACTACTAAACCCCCCTGAGCTAAATCCTCCACCAAGGGAGCCTTTGCTGCTCGAAATTCTTAGGGATGATCCTCCTCCTCCTCCTCCTCCACCTCCTCCACTGCGGGAGGAAGAATAGTGCTTGCTTGAGCTGTATCGAACAGACATGGTGATGCTGTTTAGCCCAGGGAGTGCCTGCTACCAAGGACAGTGACAAGCCTTTATGTATATACTGACAGGGTGTGTCCATATGTGTTAGAGTTTGCTTACTTGCATGGTTTTCTTTTTGCCTACTTAGCATCTTTGGCTTATGATTGCATAAATTATCTTCAGTAATAACCAATCCCAATATGTACAATTTTGAATTTGCCCGAAGAATAAACAGGAGGTTTGCTATGTTGAAATTGAAAATGGGTGGGGTTCAGATGAGCATGTTTTATTATGCCTTTCACCTGTTGAAGAACATTGAGCAACTGTTAAGATCCATTTTTCTCAGCACTAATTCAGGTTGCATAGAATGTTTGCAAAGTTTGGGGAAAAATTTCAGCTACAAAATTATAGGTAAGATTTTTCAAATTCATGTTTTAAACAGTTTTAATTGGAACAACAAACAGCATAAAGTCTGGCAGAATCATGCTCTAATAAGGTTCTTGTAGACAACTGTAGGGAATCAAAAAGAAAAAAATTCTAAAAATTTAACTAGCATCAATAGTTGCCATATATAAAACATTAAAACCATAAAACCACAATTTAGGAGATTGTGTTTGTAGGGGATCTTTTAATTTATTTGGCAAATGAGAGTATATTGATATTTTGCCTAAGAAAGTGGAAGTAATGATTTTAGAATTTTCTAATTAATGATGACATTATTTTTAGCATTAAAAAATCTGAAATCATGACGTTATCCTGGATTATTTTGCCTTTTAAATTCATCATAGTTAAGGTTTCTTTGAAGACCATAATAATGCAGAAAATCTGCATTATTTTCTTAGCATGAAATATAAAGAACTAACTTGTAGTACTTTACACTAAGTTCTGATTGAATAAAAAGGGAAAATTTGGATATGTTATGATTGCAGGTAAAAATTTACTTGCAAAAATGTAAATCTGTATTAGAGAATGGTACTTGCACCAAATATTATGAACTAGACTGTGCACATGTGTTCCCAAGCTAGGTTCAGTTTCTCAACAAAAACAACACATTTTCTTAGATATACTGTGTACAGAATTTGGTATAACAGTTTGGTGAAGTAAATTGGGATTTTGGTACATTGTATAAGATTATATCTACTCATAGGCTATGACATTGCTGTTGTTTGGATGTATATATTCATACATGTTTTACAATTACATAGTGCTGTTTGTGATACTATGATTTAAAAATTTCTAGAACAAGCTGTTGAGATAGGAATGGTGGTTATTATTATTTCTTTTCTTTCTGTCTTTTTTTTTTTTTGAGACAGAGTCTTGCTCTGTCGCCCAGGCTGGAGTGCAGTGGCGCAGTCACGGCTCACTGCAAGCTCTGCCTCCCAGGTTCATGCTATTCTCCTGTCTCAGCCCTCTCGAGTAGCTGGGGCTACAGCTGCCCACCACCACGCCTGGATAATTTTTTGTATTTTTAGTAGAGACAGGGTTTCACCGTGTTAGCCAGGATGGTCTTAATCTCCTGACCGTGTGATCGCCCGCCTTCGCCTCCCAAAGTGCTGGAAGGCGTAGTTACTTCTAATTTATAGAAGAGGAAGTTGAAGTTGAGAGGCTGTGATTTTTCCACAAGACATGGAACATGTGGTTAAACTGCAGTTAGAAGCTTGGTCTTTT